GGAATAAAATAAAGACAAGGGGTCATTGTTTGCTCTGCAGGAGGAAAAAAAACGGATGGGACATCTTTGGATAACATCTGGGTGGACAGCAAAAAAAAAGGGGGGGGGGAAGGTGTGTGTTTGCGTGTGTGTGTGAGAGAGAGAAAAACGCACATGTGCGGGTGTGTGCGCGGGCAGACGTGTGTTTGAGCGTAAGCCGGGTGGCCGGAATGAAAGGAAGGAAAGACCGAGAGAGCGAATGAAGAGGAAATGAGAAATGTGAAAGGGAGGGGGGGGGAGAGATGGAGAAACACCCAGGAGATGCTTTAAAAAAAAGGGGGGGGGATGCAGGAAACCCAACGGAAGAGGGGGAAGCGAGGTAGGTGGGTGGGTGGGAGGGAGGGCAGAGAGCACCGGGAGGCGGAGAATGCCTGCTCTCCAACCTGGGGCTCCTCCCCCCAATTGTCTCGGACTACAGCTCCCATCCTGAGATGGGATTTGTAGTCCCTCCCATTTAATGGGGGACAGATTTGGGGAGAAAGAGGGGGGGGGGAGATAGGGAATCCAGGCGGGCCGAAGAGGAGAGGGCCGACCTGGGGACGGGGGTGGGTGGGTGGGATGAAAGAGGTGGTGGGGGGGGGGGCATCAGCCTACCTTTGTGCATGCCGGTGTAGCGGTCCTTGAGCACGGTGAGCTCGTAGATCTGGCCGAACTGCTCGAAGAGGGGCTTGAGGTCCCTCTCCTCCAGGTTGCGAGGGATCTGGCCCACGAAGAGCTTGATGGCATCCAGATCCTTCATGCCCTCCGGGTCGGCGCCGCCGCTCATGGGGGAGGCGCGGGGCGGCGGCTGCTGGGGCTGCGCCTGCCGCCTAGGCTCGCTGGCCGGCAGTCTGGCCATGCCCCGGGTCCCGACGCGGCTGGGCGGGCGGGCGCCGCACGGGAGGAGGAGGAGGAGGAGGAGGATGCGGGCGGCGCGGAGACGGGAGCTGCGGGCGGCGACCAGGGAAGATGCAGAGGGAGGCGAAATGCCGCTCGCAGCATCAGGACCACAAAAGGCGGACGCTCCGCAGCGACGCCGCCTGGACGGGCGCGGAACTGCAGCGCCGCCGCGCGAGAAATGGGGGTGGGGGGGGAGAGAAAGAGGG